TGAACCAGATGCCAATGTCACTATACACAATAAATTCACTTTCAGATAATGGAGCTCTTGGAACTCTAATTAAATGAGTAAACCAGGAATGTATTTTGTATTTGTGCCTGAAAACTAAGAGACGAACTAAGAGAACTAAAAAGTAATTGTGTAGAGTGACAAAACTGTTCATTGAGTCCCACATTAGAGCACTACAAAAGTCCAATATTTACTTTTCACAAGTTTTCCAGTTGATTAAGTCTTATTTACCTCCGGGGGAGGCGTAACAAGTTCACATTTGTCATCATTCATTTTCCTTGCCGTGAAGGAAAATTTAGACAGTATGTGTTTCTTTAATTATTCATCCTAACCCTGAGGAACACTGTGTAATGGTGAAAAAAAAACATTGCTTGTGCATATTGCCTATTGGTATTTAGATTAATTACAAAAACCCAATCTAAATTTACTATGACTTAAGTATTTCTAGAAAGAGAATTTTTGAAGTTATGAACAGGAAGCAGGTACGGAGGAGAATACCCTGAAAAAATGTGTGATTATATTGAAGTTTTAGTCCTTTAACTGCCAAATGTGAGATAAATGTTTTGTAAAAAGGACAAGGGTCACCATAACATACAGTATTTTATTTTTAGAAGGGAGCAAAAGAAGTACATAACCATGTCAGTGTCTTTTAAATCAAGAATTTTTAACATCTAAGAATGATAGTAAAATAGCTGCCTCAGGTGTTTCAAATCTTGCCTCAGGTTGCAGACAGTTTTTCACACCACTGCCTGACACTTTTGTAAAACTGGATCGAGTCAAAATAGAAAAGTGTTGAAAAAAAAAAAGAAAGAAACAAAGCGTAGAGTAGTTTTGCACCCTTTGGCATCCTTTTCATCAAAGAGAACAGTATACCTGGTTGTGACTCATGTGATCTGACCCATCAGATGACTACTATACGCATGGTAAAGGCTGATACAGAGTACTTCAAAGTACTCCACACATTCTCAAAGACATGGAGTGTGAGGTAAAATTAAAGAGTTCTAGTTTATTTGTGCCTCAAGGTAAAAGCACAGCAAGGCATAAAAATATGTGCGAGTTGGAATTGAACCTTACACAGTCACACTCAGTAGAAGGTCCTTTTACTCAGACAGAACCACAGGATGGGCTGTAGCACAACAGGGCTACAGGTAGCAAAGCTGGTTTATCTGCTTACATGGTTATGTTTGACACATAATAAATTATTAAAACTTATCTCAGGCTGGACCATTTATCTGTAAGTGCTGACATGCCTCTATTGGTATGCATTACATGGGAAGTTTCCACCTGAGCAGGTGGCACGCCTTAAGTGAGTCAGAAGGCCTTTGATAACTGCGGAATGATTCTCCCTAACAACAATCACAACAACAGTTGTAGCAGCAGTAGCAGCAGCGGGAGCAACAGGTTACACTACAATAATCCACCTTCAGTTAACATGTCTGCCTACTCCAGTATCCTGTAAATACCCGACTAGACACTCCTAACACCTGGTATCTGACAGTCAGTGGGTTACACTGCATTGCATCATTCACTGTCCTTGTATTGTAGCTTCTCCGAGCCACAGTTTCTGTTGTGGCTGTTCACATGGTCATCATGCAAAGCAGTGGTCACAGCATTAGAAAGTCCACAGAGTGGCTGGTTTGTTGACCCCTGCTGTCGCTGCGTCCCCAGTGACATGATTTGGCTTCCACATGTCCCAGATGTCGGCCCTACCAATGTCTGTGTTGTCCACAGAGGAGGCAGGAGGAGGGGTTTCCTGTGTGAACCAACACCCAGACCAACAGTAAACAACCACAGATAAGTATCTTGTGTACATTAGCATGGGCATGATAATTCTTGAAGTAAACTGATGTCACTAATATCTGCTTATCTGTGTACTCGACACAGGAAGTTTACTGGACAGAGAAGCACGTAGGCCCAATGTAATTTGATGGGAGAGGGGGAATAAGAGGGGGGCAAAAGGGATGGGTGGGGGTAAAGTTTTCCTACAGCCCTATAGCAACAGGGCCTGCTGGTGAGGCCTCCAGACTACATTGCGGTTTACAGTAGGGATAAACATACACTTTGCCACCCATAGGAAGAAAATCGGAATCCTCTAATGGAATGCTCCCTAACATAAAGCAAAGATCAAAACAAAATGAAGAAAAAAAAAACACAAGGTACAAAAAACATCACCAGATGTTTTTTTTTTTACTTTAACCACCAAATTTACAAAGTCCACAGCTACGGAAGGCATCTGGGATTAAATTACATGCAGCAGTTTGATGACGAACACGGTTTCTCTTATCTGCTGCAAAGAGGTTCACACTGCTATTGAGAACATTGCTATCTGAGTTAATTTACTTTTACATGATTTAGCAGTAAATGTACAGTAGGCATGTACTAGAGCATGTACTTTAGGACAAAGAGTGCAAATGCCACACAATGTAAATCAAGTAATCAAAGATAAGTGTTTCTAGACAGTGCTCCTCCTCTGGTCTGTGTTTACGGCCTCTGCCAAATGTTGTTTGTCACAGAAGAATCTGACCAATCACAGGCAGTTCAAAGAGGGTGAGAGACAGAGGGAAACAGGAAGAGGGAGGAAGGGAGGGAGGGAGGGAGAGAGGGAGAGAGAGAGAGAGAGACTTGTTTCTTAAAAAGAACAAAATAAGACTTTTTTTGTTTTTGTCCACAACCAAACAATATCATAAACCTATACTTTAAGTGGAAAGGAACAACAGGAGCTCAAGAAATAGAAATAAGAGAACATTTTTATGTACCTCAGTGCCAACATGGGGCACGGGTGTCATCCTTCACATAAGTTCATCACTCACATACTCACTCCAGACAGAAAATACTCCTCTCAAATTTTGGATTTTCAATAACTTGAACATGAAACTCGACAACCTCCTCAACAACCCCACTTCACCTTTAAGTGCTTTTCTTTTTTTACTAATTCAAATTACCTTAAATTAATAGCTAACACCTAAAGACCTTACAGTGAGCTCACAGTAATCATTGTGTCAAGTTTGCTGCTGCACTGCTGGAAAAAATAACAGAAGAATGAAAAGACGCCTCTGTGAAGGCCAGAGAGTGGAATAATGTGGTATGGAAAGACTTTTTGAGAGACTGTCTTTAATTGACTTACTGGCAAGTTTATTTCTCCTCTTCTCCAGGGTCAAACTGATTAGACCTTGAGACATTTTAAAAGCTTTAGGAACCCATGATTCTCACAGGCTGTGCACGATGAGATTTAAAAGCTCTACAGAGTACTAATGTGCTCCACAGCGGGCCATAACTACACCACACTATTAATAGCGCCGTATAGGACCATCTACATCCGCTGTGACAGACTCAGATACAACATCATACGCTTCCATGTCTACACAATATGACCACATGATGTCCAACACAGATGGTGGCTCGAACAGTGAAGGGGGGTGGGGGTGGGGGGGTGCTGAGTGAATGATACAACACATGTACTGGTTTGAAAAGAAATAAAGTTGCTGAAAGGGTAAAACTGGTTAAGGTGAGAACAGATTCTCTACAGAAACAAACACTTGACTCAAGAGCAACCACAACAACTAGAGCTGTTTTTGTGTTACTGTTACTAGAACATTCTCTTGTATAAACACTAGCAGAGAACATAGCAGAGACCGGACCTAGCAGAGAACTTCCCAAGTTACTAATGAGACATGACAAATTTTCCAGGCCCTGGCTAATGTCAAATGGGTTATGAATTGTGGTTTGGGTTAATGTAACCTTGTTAGAGTTGGAGTCAAAGCTTGAAATAATATGTCCAAATAAAAAAAGTTATGTATCGTAAAATACAGCATAATTGTGAATCTGTCTTTTTGCTGTATAAAGACCATAACCTTGATTGTAAAATGTACAATGTCCTTTCTCGACCTCTGGTTAAGGTAAGTGAGCGATGATTAGCATAAGGTTAATTATCCACCTATGGTGTGTCTAGTTGTGCAATTCATATGTGTTTGTGTGTATATTGTAGTTTTTATTAACTTTGCTTACCTTGTGAACACCAGAAGCATGATAGGCTTTAAAACATATTTCACATGTGGAAAACTATAATTTCTATTGCTGTGCCTAAAGATAGCATCAAGACAGGGACTGTTTTAAGGTGTAATTAAATTTTAAGCAAGAGTGATAGTCTTTAGTTAGTGATAAAAATAAGGATAAAGAATCCTTTGTTTTCATTATCACATGTAACACATGGTACACATAATACACATTCGAAAAATTCAAACAGGTCTAGCATGTATACATTAATACATGCCAACATTTTATCTGCTAAATAGGACTAGTAAGAGATGACAGTGGTAACTTTAACTTTAAACAGTTGGGACAATAAAAAGATAAACAAATATATAATTATGAAAAGACACAATAATATAAATTGTATGTTAGGGTTGTCAAAGCTGGTGGCAGGTATTAAGTGGTTAATGGTAAAGACTAGCGACAAGCTTTTAAAAGACTGTGCAAGTTAATGGAAGTCAGTCGAGTGTCCTATTAAATGGCTGTGCAGAAGTTCTGTCTGTGAGAGAGAGAGTGAGTGAGTGAGTGAGTGAGTGAGTGAGTGAGTGAGTGTGTGTGTGTGTGTGTGCGCGCGCGCGCGCGTGCATGCGTGTGTGTCCTGCGGGACAATGACCGGTCTTGTTTCATCTTCTCACACAAGTTCACAGGCCTGGCTGTGATTTCTGCTCTCAGCTTCCCAACAGAGCCAGAGTCTGTGAGCTCTGCGGGTTGCAGCTTCATCAAACACTGCTCTGTATGTTCCTCTGCTCAGTGACAGTCTTAACCACCATGTTGCCAGGAACTTTAGATATTCCCCCTGATGGTAAAGTAATGTCACTATTAACTGTAGCGCCAGGAGAGCCTACAGGATGTCAAAGCCATATTTTAACCCTAAACGGGGGCTCAACTCGAAAGAAACTCTTCAACTCAAACATTTAAGCTATGGAAAAAGTGACACCGCTTTGTTTACTCACAGAAAGTTTTCCAAACACCGGCTCCAAGTTCATCTTGAACGGGATGAGAGAAAATCCCTCAGACTTCGTCGTAAAAAGCCACCAGTGTGAAAGTGCTTTAAAAAAACACGGTTACAGCGAAAAATACCGTTCGAGTCCAGCTTTAAGATGTTTCCTTCGCTTGGCTTCTCGCATGAATTTAATCTCCTCAGTCACAAGTTTCAGCGCTTTCACAGACACGGGCAGCACCACGGAGAGCTGGGCTCAAGTGAAACTTTTTCTGCCTCGAGCTGCGTCCGCGACTCCTGCGCCCTGACGTCACAAGCCCAGCAGCCAATCAAGATCCATTTTTTAACATAACAATTGAGCGCCAATAAACTCAACACAGTTGTGTTTTCGTGATCCATTTAATTTACTTTGCTGTCTTTTACTACTACAAATGAAATTGTTATCGCGGTGGTGTAAATTAACTGACAATTACAAACAAATACATGTAAAAACGAAAACATGTTGAATATATATATAATGCTGGTAACATGAATACTATATATAACACCACACAGCATGAATCTTGTATTTCGTGACGTAATACAACCTTTTTATTGCTTAAAGGGCTACTGTGTAAGATTACGCTGAAATGAATAATCGTTTTCTGCAAAACCTCTCACTTTTTGGGTGTGGGTCATAATCTGTGGGTGGTCAGACTCTTATCTTAAAAAGCAGGCAAACTGATGTATTTCTTGGAAAAGTTTATATTTGTACTTCTTTTTACTTATGTAGATTACTGTCACCCTAATAAAGTGCCTTATTCATGTATCCATTTATTTCACAAAAGGTGGATTTTGTATTCTATCTATTTAAAACAAGAAACTTAACAAATAAATGTAATTTATTCTACAATACTTCTATAATTTTAAAAGTAACATGAAGAGTTTCACGTTGAAAATGTATATGTTTTGTCAACCTTTCAAGAAAAGCCAAATACATATCTATTTACAAGCTAATATGTGCATGTTATGACTTGATGTGAACTTTGAATGTAGAACTTTACTTTTGTATTTATTATTGGTTCACCAACTTAGTGTTTCTTTCACAACTGAGGTTTATGGTTTGAGCAAATGGAACATCTGGTGCTTTGATCTCTCTTAAACCACTGGTAACTCAGTACATTCACATTAACTAGACTTTGTAATGTGTAACTCACTGGAAAGGATAGAACAGACAGCACTAAGTGGAACACCCTTCAACGCACGACAAATACTCAAGGCCAGTGTTTTACCAGGATATTCAGTTAAAGGAAATTCAAACACTGTAGAATCTTGTTTATTTAAAAAAACATTAATGTCATCACCATATGCAGGTTGCCCTTTTGAAATCTAAATCACAACCCTAAAACATGTATAATTTCTAATAAACAAGAGCAAAATCCAGTGCACAAACAAAGTATAATGTAACTGATTAGGGTTGATGATGTTGTTTTGATAATTTGATATACGTATATATATATATATATATATATATAAACAAGTGTTTTCCAATGTCTCGTTTTATAGGCGTGTCACAAAACACATCAACCGACAACCCGTTTTAAACAACACAAGATCATCCAAATATTTGCACTACACAACATCAAACAACAAACAAACATCCTC